CTTGGGGGTATAGGGGCCACTAGGTGTTGCCCCACAGGAACCCAGGCCCCCAGTGCCCGAACATTACGCCCGTACTGGCATGGCACAAGTGTTCCTGCTGGCAGGCTGGGCACGTCTGAGGAGGTCAGAAAAGGTCACAGGCGAGGGAGGGAGTGCTGGGTCCAAGGGCGATGTGGGGTCTGCCAGACAGGGGAAGGTGGGTACAGGGCTCCCCGGGGGCCACCAGGCAGGCCTGGCTCTGCCCTGCTGGGGCCGGCAGCTGGAGGGGAGTAAATATAGCTGGGGCGTCCCGGCCACATTCCTGGGAGGCCAGTGAGGCCCGCCTGCCCGCTGCTCTAAGCAGAGCGCAGCAGCCAGGGCCCAGAGCCGCCACTGCCCTCTTCCCAAACAAACAGAAAAATAAATAAAACCAGCTCTCACGGCCGGCCGGCACAGCCGGTGGGGGAGGGGGCAGGAAGGGATGGACAGGGGTTGGGGGGGTGGACAGGCAGGCGGACCAGTTGCCGCGGTTTCTGTTCCACTGGGAAGGAGGAGGCCAACAAAAGAGGAAAATGGAGGAAAAGGGCAGGGAGATGGTCAGAGATGTCAGCGAAGGGGAGAGAATCCCGAAGAGATGAAGGGTGTCACAAGGAGAGGTGTGGGGGAGGTAGGTCAGGAGGGACAGGGAAAGTGTCAGGGGCGGGCACAGTGGGGGACAGTTAGGGCAGAGGCAGCCTCTGGGTCAGTAATTCAGCAGCAGAGATGCCCCAGGGGGTGGGTGGCAGGCAGAGACAAAGGGGGCTGTGTGGGCTGGGGCAGGGGGCCGGCTTGAAGGGCCATGAAATATTAAAGAGCTAGGCCAGTGAGTGACAGAGGTCATAGGAAGCAGGAGACTAGCCGAGGAGCGATGGGGGACCCTGAGGCGGAGGGCTGCCCCACCTCTGGCCTGTCTCTCCACCACCTCCATCATAGCCAGTCTCCTGCGATGGAGGGACAGGCTGAGGGTGGGAGGGGCTGTGGGGATTAGTGATGGCAGGGAGACCTCTGCGGTTCCCTCTTCCCTCAGGCTGATCTGGGCACAGCCGGCCTTCCAGAGCTGCCAGCCACCCTATCAAGAAAGCCAGGAGGCCTGTCAACACAGCCGCTGCCATGGCACCTCCTGGGGAAGGAGCGGGAGACATCCAGCTTCTCCTTCCCAGGAAAAATCAGCCAAGCCACCACTTTCCACAGAGACCTGCGGGGAGGGACGACTGGGCCTCACAGCTCAGCTGAGCCAGCAGGTCACCCCCCAGCCCTCCCACCCTACCCCAGCCTGGCGTCATTACTAGCTTCACGACCTTGGTCAGTCCCCTTGTCTGAGCCTGTGTCTTCACCAGCTCCACTCCACCCTAGGCTTGGTGTGAGGAAAGAAAGAAGGCAAATAACACCTTGAAAACATACTGAGGCCAAGAATCTGCACGCATCATCCCAGAGAAGGGTACCATGTGCCCCATGGGGTCTGTCCTATTATCAGTCCCATTTTACAGATGGGGAAGAGAAAGTCAGACAAAATGATGCACCCACAGTCACACACGTGATAATCAGCAGAATGGAGACAGAAGTGCTAGGTGTGAGCCACATGTTATTTTCTTAGGATTCACGGGGGATGTGCATTCCTTGTCTCTATAAAAGCCGGTGTTTACTGAATACAGATTGTAGGTGAGCACCTCCCCCTGCCAGGCACTATGCAACCATATGTGTCCATCTGAAAATGACCTTGTGAGGCAGGCATTCTCTTACTGTCCAATTTCAGAGATTAGGAAACTGAGGTTTGTAGAGATAACACAATTGGCCCAAATGTCATACATCCAGCTAGGCCGTGACATGGCCAGGATTTGGAGTCAGATCTGATGGACTCTAGAGCCACTGCTCATACACACTTGTCTGGGTGGGGGTTAGGAGGACCTGGTAGGAGTGGAGCTCAGTGGTTCAATTGGCTCCGACAAGGGATACCCAGAAAAGGTCAAAAACAAGGTCACAACTGCTGTGGGGGTTGGGGAAATGGCAACTGTTTTGAGGATGGGAGAGGCACAGAGCCTGTAGGAGCTCCAGGTGAGGGTACAAGCTAGGGTCCTGGCTAGAGTAATCTGCTTGGTCTACCCAGAGCCCCTGAACCAGGTAACACTGGCCCTGCCCCAGTGTGAGGATACTGAGGCTGACCTAAAAAGGGCCAATGGAGCCCTGTGTTGTTGGTCCCCAGGGTTCTAACCTGTGCTCCGGGGCCAGAGTGCCTGGAACTAATCACCTCTTCAGAGCCCCCAGTGCTGTGGAAGACAGGGCAGGATCCCCTCCCTCCCTCCTAGGCCCTGTGAGCCCAGAGGGAGGCCAGCATCAGAGGCAGGAAATGAAGAAGAATTTGCGATCTAATTGAGCTGGCGGGGGATTAGGCGGCAGAATGCAATTACAGGGGCTGGAGCGGGGCCAGGGGCACTGACACCCCAAGATGTGGCCTGGCCCAGGTGACTTGGCCCAGTCAGTCTCTGGCCAGAGACACGAGACTTGGAGTTGGGAGTATGGGTACAGGCAAAGGTTGGGACCAGACTGCTTCTCAACATATAGAGGACCGCAAGGTTCCAGCTCCACGTGATACCCAGAAGCAAGAAGTTTTCCTGGGAATCCTCCCCCAGGGAACAAGTCTATGGCTTCTCATCTGGGGATTTGGCAGCCAGACTCACATGCTCTCACAGGCTCCATTCATACGTGTGCAAGCATGTGCTTACACTCCCAGGTAAGCCCCATATATCCACATTCACCTGCATAGGGGCAGGTTTCCCAGCCTGGAGACACACAGGCCAGCCCTTTGCTGCCACTGGCTCCACCAAATGGTGGGTTGTGGGGGCACAACCCCTCCCTCAAGAAAACCCACCCATGACCTTAAAATCCTTTTATTCCCGTAATCACATGCTACCATTGCCGTGGATATACGCTGTCACCCCGGCCCTGTCTCCCTCTGTGGCTTCCAAAACTCCCAGCAGGCAGGCAGATGGGGAGGCTGCCCAGTTACTGCTGGGGAGGGAAGGGTTGTAGGGATTGCAGGGGAAAGGACTGGGTGTGAGAGGTTCAATTCTACACACACACATTCAGGGCCTCAAACAACCAGAGGGGGAGATTCAGTAAGACAGAGATACAGAAAGAGAAAAGAAAACATAGCCAGCCGCCACCACCACAGACAGAGAGAAACCACTGTCCATACAGCACAGACAGGCCCACTCCCACATTCACAATTCAGACACACTCTAATCAGTCAGATCCCCCAGATTTATAAGCATATACAAAGCACACAGATACACACAAATCACAAATCCAAACTCTCCAAAATTCCAAGCACACACAACTCACAGAATATATTCATTCCCAGATTCACAGGGACATAGCCAGTCTTCAGAAATACAATCTCAGATTCACAAACACACATGTACACATACACTACAGATCCACATACTTCTGGATCAGGACAGACAGACATGCCCTGATTCATAAATCCATGTATGTTCAGACTCTGAGAAGTCACCCTGAGAAAGACATTCAACACAGAGATTCACAAATACAGACACACGACTTAGAGACACACATGTCCTGAGTCATAAGCACACATCACCCAGATTCCCACATCCCAGAGCAACAGACTAGTGCCACACAGCCTCATCTCTGTCAGCTGACACTGCCTCTGGCTTTAGGGGGCAGGTGGAGGGTTGGAGATTCCTGGGTCTTTGAGGGGGCAGTCCTTTCTCATTGCTCGAATCCAGGAAGGGTGGGCTCAGTGTTGGGGGGAGGTGAGGGGGAGTAAGAGAAAGCAGGAAAAAACTTTAGTGGGATATTCTTGTTGGGCAGTAGCGCGTGAGTAACGGGGGAGGTTTTTTGTGGTCTGGTGAGTTCCAGCTATGAGTGAGAGTTTAACTATTAATACACTTAATCAAGGACACTTCACACACACATACACAGCCACACACACAGCGCCACACACACACACACACACACACACACACACACACACACACACACACGCAGCTAGGATGGGACCAGGTGGTGGGGGTAAGAGAGGGAGAGCCCCAGAAAAAAGAAAAGAGGGAAAGCCCCAATCAGGGCCCCAGAGGGCGGGGAAAGGGGGTGGAGCTTCTATCCTGGGCCTGCCTCCAGAGCCGGAGCAGTGATTCATTTGTGCACCACCAGAAGGGTGGGGTTTGATACACAGTAGGTGCTCAATACAAACATATTGGGCCAACAAATGAATAACATATAAAGAGTGGGCAATAATAACAGTAATAACAATGTGTGAACCCCCACCGTTGTTCAATTAGAGCATGCCCCAGAGCATCATGCTTGTTAATTCGGACTAAATCGTCAAGCCACCAGACAGGGGCTCTAGGAACCCAGGCTTGGGTCTGGCTCACCCGTATTCCCTCATTTCTCCACCCTATCCTGCAACCTGGAAAGTCAGCCCAGCCCACATCCCTCTCTCCCTCCTGGCAAGACCCCCTCCATTCCATCCTCCCATAAACAACAAGGTGCAGTCACTCCTAAAGAAGGCAGGGTATTTAATTCCCCTGGACTTGTTTCTTCACCCAGATACAAGCCTGCCCCCACACTCCTATGGGTCTCAGTTTCACATGTGCCAAATGGGTAGGAGGCAGGCAGAGCTGGAAAGGGGCAGCAAGAGTTTAGGGTCACAGTGGGAACCCTTGGAACATGGGCCTTTGCTGGCCGGGGCCCTGGATGTAGAATCCTCCCCTCCCCTTCCCCCACCCACCCCAGCCCAGCCCAGCCCAGCCCAGCCCAGCCGGGTGGACATTCCAGGCCTCACGTGATAAAGACGAGGCCACTGGCCCTCGGGTAAGTCAACAGGCTCTGTCGCGGGAGAGATAGGAGGCCCTGGCCAGGGTCACCTGCTGAGCGGCGAAAACAGCCAGGACCAGATACACACATAAATAAGGCACCAACCCGACAGCCAGCCTGCCAAGGGTCTGTCTTCTGCAGAGGCTCACCTTGGAAAGGGAGGTGGCATGGAGAGGGAGGCCAAGGCTGACTAGGGACGTCCCTGGGAGAGACCCAGCTCCTGCGAGGATGAGGGGTAGGGGGGTTCTACCCAAGTTCCGGGGGCTGGCTGGGAACTCAGAGGCCAACCTCCCTCAGCTGTTCCCATCTCTTCCCAGGGCAAAAATCAAACCGTCACCCCCTCTCCCTCCTCCCCAAGGAGAGGACAATTTCCGTTCTGGGAGGGGGGTGACAGCTGCAGAGCGAGCCACTCCCCACCCCCCCAAGCTCCAGCCTGACTCTCATCTAGGGAAACTGCTAAATCAACAATACGCAGTTACGGGTAGGTAGCCTGCCGGCCTGAGTCTCCCCGCACGGCTCTCAGAAAGGGGTTTAGAGGGGGCTTCGGTCTCAGTTCCCAGTTTTCTAGTGGCGGTTGGAAACCAAGGCACGGGCGTCTTTCAGGAGGGCGACCAGGTGATGCTTACGCCAGAGGCCCCCCAAAACGTCCAATTTAAATACTCCCAACTGCAAAGGACAGACGCCCCCCACCCCACGGGCTGGGGCAGCTGAGGTGGCGCCGGGCGTTCAAATCGCGCTCCAAACAAGTCCGCAGCGACTGCGCTCGCAGCCCCCGCCAGGCGGCCCCAGCGGAAAACTTGAAAGGGACTCTGTTTGCCGGCGGCCCTGGGGCGGCTCCGGCGGGGGCGAGGGCCGAGCGATCGCACACTCGCCCCCTCCCCAACACTTCCAAAGAAAATGCGGGGGGCGGGGACAGGGCCCACCACAAATCCAAGGGCTCCAAATAGCGCCCACCGCGCGGGGAAAGGCGGGGGTCAGGAGTCTGGTCCGCCGGCCACCCCCTTAGCTCCCCTCCCCCCAGCCCCGATCCGAAGACGCGACTCTCTCAGACCACCCAAGGTCCAGGGGGCAAAGTAGGGCGCGGTTGCCAAACCTTCAGACCCCTGTCGCGGGAGACTTCAGGGAGCGGGTCTTTCCGAATGAGGCACTACAGAATCCCCCAAATTTACTGGTGCTTCCTTGCAGCCGGAGGCACCAGTCCAACTCCGCACACCCCTTCCGATTCCCGGGGGGGAATAAAGAACAAAAAGAGATCTTGCTCCCACTTTGGGCACTTCAGCTCTTCTGACAGGTCCCGAAGGTGGCCCCTCATTTAAAAACCGGGGTCACTCACTTTCCGTCGATCCTACAAATAAACAAAGCCAGGCGCACCCCGCGCTCCCCGCCGGAAAGCAGCCCATTACGGGCGAGGACAACTTCCCCCAGCCAGAAAATTAACACATTCCTCTCGCGGCGGTTCAGCCCCTCACTCCGCTCCGGGGATGCGAAGGGGAGGGGGGCTCAGGCGGAACTTCATGGGTAAATTTGGGGCCGGAGCAGCGTGGCAGGCGCCTGGGACGTACGCCCCCCCCACAGTTCCGCAGCTAGAGGAACACCCCCATTCTCCCTCCCAGGCTCTGCACGCTGCTTGGCCCACGCGGGGCTCGGGAGACAGCCCCAAAGACTCCCCAAGGCAGGGAAGGGAGGGAGGGGCCGCGGGGCACCGTGGTGGTGGGGTACTTTGATGGAAAAAAAAGGTCAAACTTCATCAGCCTGCCAGGCACCCCGCGGGCAGCGGGGGCGAGGAGCCGGAGGAGAAATGCAGAAGTAGCCGCCGCCTCTTCCAAGTGGTGGGGGAGGCTCAGTCACGCGTGGTCGAGGGCGCCCAGAGCAGTTAACGTCGCCCCTCAACACAGGGCTGCGAGTGGGGTCTGATGAGGGGAGTGCGCGCCAGAGACCTACAAGCAGCCTCCCCCGCAGGCTGAGCGCCCGCCCAACGCCAAGAGGTGAGGACCCCGGGCGCCCGCCGCCCCAGCGCCGGAGAGCTGGAGTAGTGGCGGGGGAGGGGGGGCAGCACCACGCAGGGAGCGTCCCAGCCCCACTCCACGGCGCCCAAGCCGCTGTCCCAGACCCTAAAACCCCTCTTTTTGTCTGAACTCAGTGATCTGCGACGGAGCATACTGCGGCTTAGGGAGGCTTGGGTATAGCAGCGGCCACCGAGCGATCACCGGCGCTAGGTCTCCCAGGCTCCCAAGCACCGCGGCTCATGCTGCGGGAGCCCCCCCGCCCCTCCCAAACACGGACCCCTCCTTCCCCGTCCCCGGCTCTCCGCACCTGAACTTAGGGGGAACCCGCGCAGCCAAACTTTCCGCCGACTTGCAGCGAACTCCGGCCCCGGCCGCGCACCGAACCCCGGGGGAGGAGAGGGAGGTAGGCGGGGAAGGGGAGGGGGCCGGCCTCCGGGGGGGTCGAGGGAGGGCCGTGGCCCGACACCTACCGGCTCTCCGAGTCGTCCAAGCCGCCACCGCCGCCGTCGCCGCGAGGCCGAGGGGGAGGGGCGGGGCAGGGAGCCGCGCTTCGCTCTGGGCACCGCCGCCGCGGTGCGCTCCGCTCCAGCAGCCAGCAGTGCCCGGGTCCGGAGCCGGAGTCGCGCCGCCGCGGCTGGCCCGAGGCGGGGAGGGGGGGGAGCCTGCAGCACCTGCCCCTCCTCCCCCTCCCCGCGGCCCAAATTAAAAAACAACAAAAAGCAACTAATCACCCCCGAGCGGAGCGCGGCTCGGCGGGCGGAGGGCTCAGCGTGCGGCGCCCGGACTCAGCAGGCGGCGCGCATGGCTGGGCGCGGGCTGGGCAGGACTGGGACGCGGGGCCCGGCTTCAGGGGGTGAGGCTCTGCCGCTCTTCTCGCTCAGCTCGGGCGCCTGCTCTTGCCGCCAGTGCCGCCTCTGCTGCCGCCGCCTCTACATCCCCGCTCAGGCTCAGCCGCCTCTGCCGCCGCCGCCGCGCGCCCGCCCGAGCAGGAGCTATGAACGCTGCCCGGGGGCTGCCGGCAAAACCCGGACCGGACTCGCCGCTCCCTCCCCCCCGCCAACCCGCCTTCCACCTCGGCTCACTTCCCTCCTCCCGCCGCCTCCCTCCCAGCGCAGCTCGGGCCACTTGGACGCCGCGGGCTCTGAGGCCGGAGCTGCGGCCGCTGCGCCTCGAGCTCCCCGCGCCCTGACGCGGTCCACCCAGGCTCAGCTCCCTGGCGCGCCCTGTCTTCGCCTATTTCCCCCAACTTTACAAAAAAAAAAAAAAAAGGACGACCTCCCCGCTTTGGTGAGGCGGTCTGGGTTTAGAGACGCACCTCCGGGGAAATCTGCTATCTTTCTGTGCCCTCTTCAGCGGGGCCAGAAGCTTCGAGGACCGGGAGGGAGAATTTGGCCGCGCCCCCCAGCTCAGGTGCGCGGCGGGCCAGAGATTCCTAGCCTAGGGCTCTTGGGAAGGAGTCGCGTGTTCCAAGACCCCACCCTTCCAAGAGCACCTTAATGGATTCAGTGGGCACTAGGGCCCCGGGAGAAAAGGGGCGGAGATTCCCGTTCCCATTTCTCAGATGAGGAAACTGATCTGAGAAAGGATAGTTTGTCTCTTAGACAGGCACCAGCCTCAACTCTTGAGTCCCGGGGCTAAAATGACTACCTATATTTGGTACCTTGAGACCATGGCCTACGCACTCAAAACCCGAAACAATGCTTGGAACAGCAGCGCTCGATAGGTACTGGTTGAAAGACAGAAGGAAAACTCAGCCTTGCCAGAGTCGGCGCCCAGTGGGGACAGAGTTGGACCCACATATCCCGCTTTCACTCCATCATTGACCCCCCTTCATCTGCTCATCTTGGGCTAATCCTGCTGCTGCAGATGTCTTCACCTCACGTACCCATGGTGCAAGCCCCGGGCTCATATAATCCCAACTGCATATAATCCCAAAGTGGAAGTTTTCTCCAATTCTTTGGGATTCGTGGGGGCGTGTTTGTGCAAGGCCGACTTTCATCTGCGAGGCGAAGAAAACGCGGTCCCCAGACCCGAGCAGGGGAGGGAGAGGGGGAGGACAAGTTGGGGAAGTCAGCCTAGGGTTAAACGTTACAGCCTGAGATCGATTGGGGCCCAGATAACAGGGAGTTAACTGAGGCGATCCGGGCGCCTGCAGCCACAGGCGCGGCCTCGGTGGGAGAAGCGAAACTGTCTCCCACCTCGCTGCTTCCTCTCCTCTGCTCTGCGCAGCCTGGCTGTCTCCGAGGCTGGCGCGAGGGCTGTGGAGCATGGATCACCTGGCAGCAGCAGCTGGTGCCCACCTTCCACGCCTTCTATATGTGGCCTTGGGGCCTTGACCCAGCCGGAGTGGTGTGGAGGGGGGAGGTGTCAAAGGGCAGAGCTCATCTGGAATGTGTCGCCTCTCTCCCACTCCTGATATCCAAGACCACACGAAGTGACCCTTCCCCAGACATCGTGGACACCTGCTCCCAACCAGTTCCTTCCGAATGCTGAGAAGTGGTCTCCCTTAACTACTATGCCAAGAAATGGCTCCCTTGGGGAGGTGTTTAGTTTCTCTTCTTCTCACCAGCAGCCCTTTTAATGCCTCCCTCCAAACAAACATGCCATGTGAGTAAAAGTAAGGTGCCTGCTATGGAAACCGTTTTAAGATGCCCATCACCCCTAGAAGATTACTTCTAAACTGCTTAAAGATGGGTATTCTGGGCCTGAGTGTGAGTATCAGGCACTGCGTTGGGCACTGACCGTGCAAGGAAAAAGGAAGCAAAATCCCAGGTGTAGGATCTCCAAGCATTTAACCCACCTCCATCTACCTTTTCTGGGGAAGCTGAGGCACAGACTGTGAGGGAGGACCTGTTCCCTGGGAGTCAGCAGCAGGTCTCAGAGGGTTAGGATCCATGAAGTGAAACTCTATGCCACAGATCTCCTGAAGCCTAAGGTCAGTACAGGAGTCAGGTCATGCACACCCCCCAAAAAGCTTTATGCTGGGGTCCATGGGGGAGGGTGGGTAGTAATTCCACTTTAGGGAATTGCTATTACCCACTTTTTTTTGAGACTCATGCCCCCACCCCCACCCCCAACTCAGGCGGGCAAAGGTCAAGGAGCCACAGGCTGCAATTGAGGAAGGCCAGGTGGTCCCAGTGGTGATGGCTTCCGCAGGGAAGGGGTGTTGACATGTCTGGCCCAGTTTAGACGGTGGATCTTGGAGTTTTCCCTTGCTGGAAATTAACGTCTCAGGAGGGAGACCTAGACTCTCACCTATCCAACCCATGTGGGAGCCACAGAGGAAAAGGGCAGAATTGTCCACACAGAAAGTGTTACAGAAACAGAAAATGTCACGTGCAAGCCATCCACAAAGAACTCTCCACCACAGATGCCAATGAGACAAGTGGGGGACATTCAGGAAGGATGGGATGAGGGTCTCTGCCCTTGGGTGAGACTGTCCCCAACACAGCCCCCTTCTCCAAGAAGAAGGGAAGCCTGGTTCACTATTCTCCCACCTCTCCCTACCTCAAAAAGGAGTATTGAAGTCTCACCTTGCTATTAAACTTTTTGCTGAGTTTTTTGAAACAATCAGCCTTCAAGTCAGGAAGAAGTTCCTTCAGTCTCCAGCACCGCTGGGGGAGATGGCCCCTGCATCGCCGGCCTTGTCTTCTAGGGAAGGGTGTGTCCACCCGGGATCCTGGATTGTGCTCTCCTGGATCCTGCTGATAACACCCATGGCTGGTATTTGTGCAGCCCTTACCCTGAGCAGGGCATTGTGCTAAACAGTTAAGGTACATTATCTCATTTAGTCCTTATAGCAGCCCCTGCAAAAATGTCATCCCCTTTATTCA